TATATATAAATGAAAATTGTGTCTGAACACAGTAAACGTGGTTTATGAATCCTAGTTTTTGGGAATGGGAAGTGAGAAAATATTATATACATGCATTTTGATTCTTGGAAATAAAAAATTATAACATTTCATGAGGTAATAAATTTTCTGTTTTGCCAATATTGAAATTGTTGTTAGATTATATATATATATATATTTCCCTTAAAATATCTATGAAAAATTTATTGAACAAATAAATTAGAAGTACAATTAAAAATTATTTAAACTGTTGTTGGTCTCGTTATTTTAAATATATTTTTATCTTATAATTTTAATTACACATTTTTCAATAAATTAAAGTAATATTGTAGTTGTATTCAAAACTACGTTCTTTGTCAAAAGATCATTTAAAAAAATGCATTTTATTAAAAAAAGAGGCTCACGAGATAAATATTTTATGTAGGGGTGGACGCGAATCGGTTCGGTTCGGTTCTAACTAAATTTTTCGGGTATCTAGTAAATGAAATCGTCGGGTCCAAATATAATTATGGAACCGTTCGGGTTCGGTTTCATTCGGTTCGATTTTGTTCGGTTCTGTACTATAATTAAATTTTTTAACATTTATAACAACGTTATATAAATACGACTAATGACACATTCAATGGTTTTGGAATGTCATAGATTAGTAAACTACATTGTTCAAATGATCGCTACGATCAAAGTTTCGGTCGGCAGAAGTCATAGCTTCGATCGGAGGTCAGAGTGTCGGCCGACGATTGTATATGTTTTGGAATATTAGCGAGGTTGCGAGAGTGAGTGCGAGAGTTGAGACAACGTATGCACTTTATTGTAGGTGTTTACGGTTATTTAGTGGATTTGATCTTGTTTAGCTAAGAAATGAAACAATAAAATGGATAATTGGGTCAAAAATTAAAAAATTAGAAATAAAACAAATTATTAGACCAAAACTTTGGATTTAGAAATCATTAATTTGTTAATTTGTTTAGAAAAAATTAAAATTAAAATAATTTAATTTACTCAATATAAAAAAAATAAAAAAATTAGAAAGATTCTGTTTTTATTCGGTTCTTCGATTCTTGGTCTATAACCGAGAATCGAACCGTACTCGTCAGTTCTCAATTCAGATACCCGTTCGGGTATTTAATTTGACAAGAACCGTCGGGTTCGATTTGGTCGGTTCGGTTAGGGAGATTTGCCCAGCCCTAATTTTATGTCTGTAATTTAGTACCTGGGAAATTCAGATTATAATTCAATTATCTTTATTCTAATTGAAAAATGCAAATACAAAGCATTTTATGTGTAGTCTAGAAAAATAAATCGATTATGTCCTCGTTTGAGCCACATTATTGTAAACCGATTATGTCCTCGTTATGGGTTCCACACAAAAGATAAAAAGTTAAATATAGTTTTATAATAACAAGTGAAAAATTTATTGAACAAATAAATTAGAAGTACAATTAAAAATTATTTAAACTGTTGTTGGTCCTCGTTATTTTAAATATATTTTTATCTTATAATTTTAATGACACATTTTTCATTAAATTAAAGTAATATTGTAGTTGTATTCAAAACTACATTCTTTGTCAAAATATTATTTAAAGAAATGCATTTTATTAAAAAAAGGGATTTACGAGAAAAATATTTAATGTCTGTAATTTAGTACCTGGAAAATTCGGATTATAATTCAATTATCTTTACCCTAATTGAAAAATGCAAATACAAAGCATTTTATGTGTGGTCTAGAAAAATAAATCGAATATGTCCTCGTTTGAGTTACATTATTTTAAAAATGAGAATGTAAAATATAGTCGTTATTGGCTCCACGCAAGGGATAAAAAGTTAAATATAGTAGTTTGATTTGATGGATAACGATCGTATTTTTCATTTTAACGAAGAAAAGATAGGCTCAAACATGACGTATATCTCCATAATTTAAAAATGCAAATTGAAAGTTCGATTCTTATTCTACTGTTTAATTCCTTTTGAAATGCAATTTTCTAGTCAAAATTTTTGGCCAAATTTTGTCCCCTTTGGTTTAGATTTTTACTAAAATTTTGATAAAAACTAATTGGTCAAATGTGTCGAAGAAAATTAGTCAAACACATGAAGTTCATTTGCATTTTAGCCCATGCTAGACAATCATCATTAAAAAACATTTATCTATACTCATATTTTTCTAAAAATTAATTATTATTCAAAACATTATTTTTTTCAAATAATAATTATCAAAGAGGGAGGGCTTAATGTCTATAGGGTAATTTTGTACATCAATTGGGTAATTATACTTTAATTTCATTTGAATTATGTAACTCCACATTAATTTGGTTTTGCTTAAGTCACTACTCCTTAATTTAATTTAGTTAACTCCACCCATTACTCCTAATGGAAATTGATCACGTGACCATTAACAATGATGATGATCATTACACGCAGTTAACCATTAATCGTTAATCGCAACGTGAAATAAGTACAACTTTAGTGAGAAATGACAATTGTCATTTATTGACTATTACGTCATCTATTTTCATTAGTTCAATAAATGGAATTGGACGAATTTACCTTATTGAAATGAGTTATTCATTGAACAAAATTGAAATACAATTAGATGAAAATATAATTAAAGCGAATAAAATTATTCTGAAATTTTTCTTGTGAATCTTTGAAGTCCTATCACTCCTACAACTAGGGATGGCAATAGGTCTAGTTTAGCCGGCTCGGCCCTTTAATCCATGAGTTCGACTCAGCTCGGCCCGTGGCTCGAGCCCACGAGCTCGTGATTTTTTTTTATTTTTTATATTTTTTTTTGATAAATTTGCACATTTTTTACGAGCCCATGAGCTCGACTCATGAACTTTGACTCGTGGGCTCTATGAGTCGAGAGCCGAGAGCCCCCTGCTCGGCTTAGATGACGAGTTTAAGCCGCCCACGAGCAGAGTTTTAACAAGCCGAGCCAACGAACCGCTCAATCCATTTGACATCCCTACCTACAACCAAAACCGGTCTTGAGATTTTGCGTGCCCTGTGCGAGATTTTAAAATGGTGCCCCCTTCAAGTAATTAAAAAATATATTAAAAAAATATTTCAATAATATGATTTCATTGCAAAAATATGATATTTAAATTTTTGTTTTGTTTTTTTTTATACATACATAAACAAGAAAAACATAAATAAAGCTCAAAAACATCTCTCGAATTTCATCAATATTCATGTCATCAACCAAGAACCATCCAAGCCACTGGCCTCTTCATACAATTCCATATAAACAAACCATGAAAAAATATATATATCAAGTGTAGAGCTTTAAATGTAACAAATCATATAAAAATATTTATTCTCGCATTTTTAGAAGCAAACTCACTAATTAAACTTTCGTAATCAATATTTTCTAGAAAGTCATGCTCAATAGATACCAAAACTAACCCATTCAATCGTTCTTGTAACATGGTTATCATTTTTGTCATTATCAACATTGTCAGGCATATCATTTTCATTTTGTCTCAATTCCTTAACATCTTCAAGTATTTGGTCCACATTTTTAGTTTCTTTAACAATAAATCTATCAATAGCACATTTTTGAGACTCTATCAACTCTTCAATTTTTCTCTTTTTGGCTCGTTTTCCAAATCCTGATTGTTGTTTTCTAGGATGCATTTTAAACTTCAATTTGACAAAAACAATAAAAACTATAAAAGCATATATTGTCTAAAGGAGATAAAAATAATATAAAAATTAGAAGATAGCACCCGATTAAATATTAAATCAGCAAAATCTTTATAACCAATTAAAGCAATCTTGATTCTTAAAAAACCTGTGTATCACCAATCAAATGAAAAGAGAGTCAAAGGAATTTATATTTTCTTAAATATTCAGAAAAATTATTAAAGAAAAATATGTTCAGGAAAAAAACTCACTTGTAAGTGTTCAACTTCTCTCTAGTCCTGAGAAAAATTATGTAGTGCTTCCTCGATCGTCAATCGTCGCAGGAAAGTAGAGAATTTTTTGGAGTCAAATCTAAGATGAAAAAGATGATTTCTGAAGAATACATATAATCTGTAATTTTAATACATAACCTAGAACTTCTGCAATTTTCAATTTCTGAAGAGACATTTCCTTGGAGTTTATTGCTCTTCTCCAAAAGGAAGATTGGAAAAGGAAACGTTCTCTTTATTCTCTCATTTCTCGTCGACTAGATCTCTCTTTTGGACCTTTTTCCCTTTTCCAGCATTAATGAAAATTATATTAAGAATATTATATTCATAGTTAGCCTTTTCTGTTGCTTTTTGGAATCCGTGGAATATTGATTTAATAATGTTGTATAAAAAAATAAAAATTAAAACCACATATCTCAATTCGTAGCCAACCTACCCAGCTTTCTTTTTACTCAATCCATTATATATACTTTGTCACATTATTCTTAATTTTTATATCTTATGCACAATAATAAACATTTTATATTTTAAAATTAATATATATTTTAAATATTTAATTATAAATAAATATACAATTATAAAAAAAAATTTTGGTGCTCCTACAATTTTGAGGTCCTGTGCGGTCGCTCAACTTGCGTACCCTCAAGGCCGCCTCTGCCTACAACCAAAGCCTATGCAAAAGGTCCGCTTCGCATCTCGTGTACATGTCGAGCTCATTTTCTTCTTAGTCCACAGATATAAAAATGTAAGACTCAAAGCAGATCAAGAACGGACTCACTAATTAATTTAAATCACCAACTAATACTAATCCAATAAAATAAAAAATATCCTTTTCTATATACCGTCTACTCCCTTCTATGCTGTCTTCCTTTAGAGAATACAAATAAAAAAAATAAGCTTATCTTCCACACCGATCATCGTCCTTTAAGAGCATGTTCACTATACAGTAATCAACTGCATGGCATAAAGAAAGAACAAATTTTGCTGCAAAAAACGCTGAAATAGATCCTCTTAAACTTGACAAACAATTTTACCACCAGAAACTAAATACATGAAGAAAGAACGGCAGCAAACGCTCCAAGAACATCTTTGATTTATTATAGCAACTAAAACAATGAAACTGGGTTGAAATCAGCAATACAATTATATCAGGATGTGAAAAAATTACAACAAGGATCAACGATTTTCTTATAGTCCTTATATTCTTCAAACTTCATGGAAACCCATAAAATCCTTTACATATGTGAACTTCAAACTACAATAATGATCCTACGCTAAGAAACAGGTGTGCTCGAATATAAAAGAGTGAAGAATTGTTCAACATCTGGTATGCTACAGATATTTTGGACATACCTACTCCTATAGGGTTCTTTCAGTAACTGCTGACCAATCTGCGCGATTCGTGGAAGGAGTTTAGCAAGTGGCATTCCGGACAATAAAATGCTTTCTCCACATTGGGAACTAATATCTTCCAAAAGTTCTTTCACCAGTGTTTTTAATGACGTTTCAATAACATTCCCGAATTCAACACTGCACAAAGTCATAAGAACAAAAGAAGTCAAGAAGATATATAAAATTGGAAGCAAGCAAGATTAGAACAATAGAAATTGGTCAATATTATAAAAGTAATATTTAACTGTTGAGGCTTGATCTGAATTTTCAACTTATGAAATTGTAACGAGTAAATTCCATTCACAGTAACTATTATTTTGTGTCGATTATGTAACTATTCAATTAGATAACTACACTTTAATTTGACTCCAATCGGATAACTCTGTCCATTTGCGTTACTTGGACCAATGGAAATGGATGACGTGACAGTCAATAGATGATGATCGTCATTTATTTCACTCAAATTGTAATTATTCCACATTAACAACTAACAACCACATTTAATGATCAATTTTTGTCAGTGGAATTGGAAACAATTGTCTTAATTAAAATCAAATTGAAGTGTAGTTACCATATTGAAATCAAATTGAAGTATAGCCCCTGTTTGACAACCATTAAAACAAAACTCATTTTTTCTCAAACTTATTTTCAACCATGTATTCTTCCAATAAAATATTCTGCACGTAAACCTAAAACTTTTTCTTATTTTTAACCACATATTCTCCAAAAAGAAATAACTATTACAAAACTCATTTTTCCCAAAAAAATAAAAATAAATAATAATAATAATAATAAATAAATAAATAAATTACTCATTTTAATGGTTGTCAAACAGGGACATAGAAAACTTAAGTAGATTTACTTGATTGACACTAGAGTGAAAGTATAGTAACCACGAATTGTATCTATCCAAATTGTAACATACTTTGCATGCAGGATAACTTGAAAAAAGATAAAACTAGCTGCTACATATAATTATTTCCCGTATTGCTAATGTGCATAGAAGTAAATCAAGATATTATGCAACCTGTGTGAGCCTCTAGAGTCTAGACATAAGTTTTAACTTAAAGTTAGGATGTACCATTGTCACCTGGGCCACTACAAGTATGGCTGGCTAAGCGCAAAAGATGAAAAGTACTTCTTCGAAAAAATAAATAAATAAATAAATAAATATATATATAGATAATAACTTTTAAGCTTAGACATATGTGTTGGCCTAGCATAAAAATCACTTTTAAGTACGTTGCTAAAGCTTAGCCAAACTTGGTCAACAGGGAACCAAACTCTCTCTCTTTTTGTTATTCTCTCTTCAATCATAAGAAGTTGATCATTTGAAGCAGAATGACAGGCAAAAAGTTAGAATTTAGTGCTTATTTTGCATTGCAGTATGAAGGTTAGATTCAGAAATCCTGCACGACCTATTGCTTTGAAAATATAAATGCACAATTCAATTATTTGATAGCCATGGCTGACTGCAGTGACTTGAGGCAAAAAGCATCATGTGGTGAATTCTTCGGAATCTTAACAAGGATTCTCTATTGATGCATTAAGATGCAGACGTAAAACAGAGTTGTACACTTGATTGCAATCCTTTTAACTTAGCCTTCTTAATTGTTGAACCAGACGAAACATAAACATACCTCAATAACACTGCACGTGTCTCGCTCATAAGTTGATCGAGTTTTGTTGCACAAGAAAGATCTGAATAACTGCTGCTGCTGGAGGGTGAAACAAGGTTATGTGCTCTCGAATCTTCTGGCATCAAATAGCCTACCCAGTGATGAGGGCTCCCCATGCTCATAAAAGTGTCCAATATTTGAACAATGGTTTCATGAAGTGTGGGAGCATTGAAGAAATCCTTCAATTGCTTTCTGTAAACACGTAGGTTATAAGCATTTAATAACAGGGGATCAGAATTCCAAGTAATAATCCAAAGAGTGAACTTCCCGTAATATCAAATTCTACAGGACATAGCTCGTTTAGCTTTAGGTAAATCAAGTGAGCTTACGTTAGATTGAACACTAGAATATAGGAAGCACAAAAAACTTCACATTTTCGAATTCAATAGAAGAGGCTGGAAACAACCCATGGCATTGAATTACTTAATTTGCTATTGAATCACCTTCAATCACTCAAAATGATAGGAAAATGAATTACTTTGAAGTTTCTTAGCACATTAATTTGAAATTAGAAACAACATTTGCACAAAGCCTATATCTAGATGATTTTGTTGAAATACAGACATGAATCTTATATGCAGTAAAACAGTTTTTGTTCTCTGCAGGAACCACCAGTACATCGAGGGAGAAGAATTAATCTTCTTCGCCCATCTATGATCTAACCAACTCTATAAAAATTGTTGGTCTATCAAATGGATAAAAATTTGTAGTTCTTCATGAACTATAATGGATCACGTTGATGGAGTTTGATAAACATTCAATCCATGAACTTAATTCTCCCGATTTTTCTTTTATACATAAAATGGTTGAAACCTCAACTCCCTTTCCATTTTTCATGCTCCCCGTTCTTTTTTGGAAAGTAAATCATCAATGGAAGACAATCAAACAACCCAAATGTGCCTCTAAGGATCAAATTTTACATTCAAGAAAGTAAATCATCAAGGGAAGCAAATCAAACAAACCAAGTGTGCCTCTCAGGATCCAATATTCAATTCAAGATTTATCCAGTGTTCAGAAACCCACGTTCGTTTTAAAATTACCGATATCCAACTAACAACCACATTTAATGATCAATTTTTGTCAGTGGAATTGGAAACAATTGTCTTAATTAAAATCAAATTGAAGTGTAGTTACCATATTGAAATCAAATTGAAGTATAGCCCCTGTTTGACAACCATTAAAACAAAACTCATTTTTTCTCAAACTTATTTTCAACCATGTATTCTTCCAATAAAATATTCTGCACGTAAACCTAAAACTTTTTCTTATTTTTAACCACATATTCTCCAAAAAGAAATAACTATTACAAAACTCATTTTTCCCAAAAAAATAAAAATAAATAATAATAATAATAATAAATAAATAAATAAATTACTCATTTTAATGGTTGTCAAACAGGGACATAGAAAACTTAAGTAGATTTACTTGATTGACACTAGAGTGAAAGTATAGTAACCACGAATTGTATCTATCCAAATTGTAACATACTTTGCATGCAGGATAACTTGAAAAAAGATAAAACTAGCTGCTACATATAATTATTTCCCGTATTGCTAATGTGCATAGAAGTAAATCAAGATATTATGCAACCTGTGTGAGCCTCTAGAGTCTAGACATAAGTTTTAACTTAAAGTTAGGATGTACCATTGTCACCTGGGCCACTACAAGTATGGCTGGCTAAGCGCAAAAGATGAAAAGTACTTCTTCGAAAAAATAAATAAATAAATAAATAAATATATATATAGATAATAACTTTTAAGCTTAGACATATGTGTTGGCCTAGCATAAAAATCACTTTTAAGTACGTTGCTAAAGCTTAGCCAAACTTGGTCAACAGGGAACCAAACTCTCTCTCTTTTTGTTATTCTCTCTTCAATCATAAGAAGTCGATCATTTGAAGCAGAATGACAGGCAAAAAGTTAGAATTTAGTGCTTATTTTGCATTGCAGTATGAAGGTTAGATTCAGAAATCCTGCACGACCTATTGCTTTGAAAATATAAATGCACAATTCAATTATTTGATAGCCATGGCTGACTGCAGTGACTTGAGGCAAAAAGCATCATGTGGTGAATTCTTCGGAATCTTAACAAGGATTCTCTATTGATGCATTAAGATGCAGACGTAAAACAGAGTTGTACACTTGATTGCAATCCTTTTAACTTAGCCTTCTTAATTGTTGAACCAGACGAAACATAAACATACCTCAATAACACTGCACGTGTCTCGCTCATAAGTTGATCGAGTTTTGTTGCACAAGAAAGATCTGAATAACTGCTGCTGCTGGAGGGTGAAACAAGGTTATGTGCTCTCGAATCTTCTGGCATCAAATAGCCTACCCAGTGATGAGGGCTCCCCATGCTCATAAAAGTGTCCAATATTTGAACAATGGTTTCATGAAGTGTGGGAGCATTGAAGAAATCCTTCAATTGCTTTCTGTAAACACGTAGGTTATAAGCATTTAATAACAGGGGATCAGAATTCCAAGTAATAATCCAAAGAGTGAACTTCCCGTAATATCAAATTCTACAGGACATAGCTCGTTTAGCTTTAGGTAAATCAAGTGAGCTTACGTTAGATTGAACACTAGAATATAGGAAGCACAAAAAACTTCACATTTTCGAATTCAATAGAAGAGGCTGGAAACAACCCATGGCATTGAATTACTTAATTTGCTATTGAATCACCTTCAATCACTCAAAATGATAGGAAAATGAATTACTTTGAAGTTTCTTAGCACATTAATTTGAAATTAGAAACAACATTTGCACAAAGCCTATATCTAGATGATTTTGTTGAAATACAGACATGAATCTTATATGCAGTAAAACAGTTTTTGTTCTCTGCAGGAACCACCAGTACATCGAGGGAGAAGAATTAATCTTCTTCGCCCATCTATGATCTAACCAACTCTATAAAAATTGTTGGTCTATCAAATGGATAAAAATTTGTAGTTCTTCATGAACTATAATGGATCACGTTGATGGAGTTTGATAAACATTCAATCCATGAACTTAATTCTCCCGATTTTTCTTTTATACATAAAATGGTTGAAACCTCAACTCCCTTTCCATTTTTCATGCTCCCCGTTCTTTTTTGGAAAGTAAATCATCAATGGAAGACAATCAAACAACCCAAATGTGCCTCTAAGGATCAAATTTTACATTCAAGAAAGTAAATCATCAAGGGAAGCAAATCAAACAAACCAAGTGTGCCTCTCAGGATCCAATATTCAATTCAAGATTTATCCAGTGTTCAGAAACCCACGTTCGTTTTAAAATTACCGATATCATCCAGAAAATTACAGGAGCAGGGAAAACCTTGTTAGAGGCTGAAAAAAAAAACAGAAAAATAAAAAGACCTCTGTTATGGTTTGAGATAAGACTACAACTACACCTTAAACGCAAGTCCTTATTCTCCAGCCATTTGATTCTTCATTACATCTACTGAAGATCCAATGTATCTAGTTCTTTCACAACAACAGACCATATCAATTTTAGTTTACATCTTGCCCTTCTAACCTGTTCTACTGAAATTTTAAACGGTGACACTTCACAATAATAAGATGCTGATTGTGTTGTGGAAATGAATTGACTTCATGAGCAATATTTCAAGTAGAAAAGAATGAATTAGAAAGCTAAGAAGAATTGTAGACAGGGAAGGGGAAGAAAAAGAGAGAATGATAGTCCAAGAACCCTCTCAAAATAAAAAGCAAAAAAATAAAAATAAAAATCCCAAACCATTATTTTGTGCCGCAAAATCTATTTCCTTCATGGTGGTAGAGAGAGAAGATGAAATCGTGCAAATGTTGCTTTGAATAAATCCTGAAATTTTCAGCTGTAGTCTGAACGTGGAATAAATGTTTTGCCAGATATTTAGACGTGGGAGATCAACAAGGTAAGCATCGTCAGAACCAGCTGCATGGACATCGATTAGTAAGATTACAATTTTCACACAAAATGCTGAAACCTGTGTGATAACTAACAAGAGAAGTACGCAGTTGCATCAAAGATATCAGGAGATCATACGTAAGCCAATAAATTGTCAGAATCTGAGGCAGGGCAAGAATTCGAAATATTAAGGATGATGGTGATGGTCAACCATAAGCAAGTTGGGATAGAATCTGCCTTGGTCCTTCCTGGACCAGGGAGTAAACTATTACAGCAGACGACCAAATCAGCAGAGGGTTAAAAGAAATTGGGAAAATTTTCCTGAATTTATTGAATCTGAATAAGAAAAGTAGCAAGTTGATAAATGGGTCTCCATGAGGTAGAACACAATCGAGCAGGAAAGAGATTGAGAAAAAAAAAGGAAAAGGAGAAAATTTAGAGGGAGACTTGTAATTGCATTCAATGACATCAGTTGTGTCACATTACAAATAAATTAACCACTTTATATAGTCTAAACTAGGATCGACAAGGAAAACTACAGTTTCCTCTACAAAGGAAACAAAATAATTTGTCTTCCAAACGCAATAATATGCAATAATGGAAAATACTATAAAATCCTAATTTATTTAATTTCTAATGCGCCTAGAATATACTTTTCATATTGCATCAATAGCGTATGTGGGTCCTCTGGGAGAGTAAGCAATTAAAAAATAAGTTCATGAATTGAAAAGGCCTAGGATAAAAACGAGACAAAAACTTTTAGAGGATTGAGGGTTCAATAAACTAAGAAGAGATCAAACAGGAGGAGAGAAAACCATAGAGGGGGAAGAAATTATTTGTCTTGGTTTATCATTTTGGCTTGGTGTTCTGTTGGCTCTTGTTCTTTCAACCTATAGATATTACTAGCAGTGGTAACCGATGAAGAATCAAATGATGCTTGGTTGGGATTGTGGAAACATATATTGCTTTCAAAATGTAAATAAACTCCACCCCTACTTGTGCTGTGGTAATAACTTCTTACTCCAAAAATAATTAGGTTATTAAATATAAAATAAAAACTACATTATTATTATTATTATTTTTTTAACGACCATGGGTGTCCAGACCAATTTAAGCGCACCTCGACTAATCCCACGAGGACATGAAGTTTACAACCGGATACTCACCTTAGTGGCCCTGCGAAAACTCGAACTGGTGATCATTAATGAGCAAACCCAAAGCCTGAACATAGAACTAAACTACCTCTCAAGGTTAAAATAAAAACTACATTATTTTAAAACATATAGACAGTCTCAAACTAAACAAGAACGAGTTAGTCATATATGCAAATTGTTACAAAAAGAAAAAAGGCCACAAAGTCATTATTATTAAATTAGACAAGCCAATATTAAATGATACATGTAAATTGTGCTTCATGAAGACATGGATTGCAGAAAATAGTTTGAAAGGAGATTCTGAAATTTTTTTGATGAGGACAAAAAAGGTGAAAAGTTCAAAACCTAAGTAACAGCAAAAGATGAAAATAGCAGCTTTAGAAATTAATGATTTAATTTGAGAAGTTCATTGCAGAAAGACAGAAAACAAGGTTGGGAAGGGTGATGAACGAGGCTTTTACAACCCAAATGACAGCCCAAAAACTAAACTGCTTTGGCCAATTTATCCACGGTAATTTGAAGGGTCAGTCGTTTTAATAACAAAGCTTGATGAAGTAAAAGAACCGTGGAGGTTCAGGATGGCTGTGCTCTAGCCTAGCTATCCTTCATTGGGATGCCAATTCAACATCTTAGAGAAGTACTACGGTCTCTAAATTTACACGTATCCCCAACACATATTATTAAAACAAAATATAGAAAAGAAAAGAAAAAGGCCAAAGAAGACCTCTGGAATGAAGATGTCCAAACCACAGCAGATTTTACTTTTCAAGAAACTCAATAAGCCTACCCTTTAAGGACTTCAGATGTTGCCGCCTCTATATCAGAGATCAAGGCAGGCAGGCCAAAGTTTGAAAGATGATCTGCATATGCCAGAAACTGCTGCTCATCATTTCTGTCAATTAGGTCAGCTTCATCCTGGATCATAAGAATGACAGATCCATCAAATATGCAATAAAATAATGCTGAAAGAGAAGATAGAATAACAGTATATACTTTACTTTTTGGAAAGCATTAGCCGTGCTCGTCAATGACGAAAATTTAAGTCAACGCATTAAATAATATAGCCCAAGATATACAGCAACCTAATCACAATCCTCAAGTCCAATACGTAACCTAAATGAAATTCTAATGGCCCATATTATAAACTTATGATATAACCTACTTACAACAATCGCATCCTTGTATGGTTGGCTATGGAAAGGCATTAATACCATACTTGGAGTGAAGATCATTTGAAATAAATATCACACCAGGTAGAAAGGGAAGTGGTTATGCGATGGGAGAGGGCTGAGAAGACGTATCCTTGTGCACATCCAAAAAAAAGGAGAGAGAGAGATAGAGAGCTTGAAGAATGAAAAATTAAGAAACAGAAAGAGCAGAATGTCTAAATAATAAGGCGTAATACTATTATGCCATGTTGTAATTATTTTCTCCCATGAAAAAGAAAGAAATGTATTGTAATTTTTCTTCCGAGGGAAATATTCATTGAAACAAACCCAAAAGAGGCATGAAAAGACTGAGACAAATTAGTTTTGTCTTAGTATCCCTTAACTGGTGCTCTCTAAGAGAGGAAAAGAGGATTGCAAATCTCAAGCAGTTCATTCAAACCTTTAAATGCAACTCAGTTCTTGAAATAAAACTTACTATACGAAGTGGATGAATTTTCAGTAGCTCATTTCAATATTATGTCTTGCCTAGCAAATACAAGGGACTTCTTCATGGTCTACATATGAAATCCAAGAAGTCCACAAAATTATAATTATCCTGAAGAGTCAAACAGAGTATGCGATTTAATTGGAGTCCTGGACTTCTAAAAAAGAGGAAACTCTTGTTCTTTCCTAGAAGGCAAACGTGCCCTCTTTCATTCACAAGTAACAAGTCTTCCCAATGAAATACTTTACATCACACCAAAATAATAAGATAACAAAGATAAAGAATTGTTGTCCAAAATAAAAATATGCCCCACAAAGCATACGACTTTTTCAATTATCAAAGAAGTGTGTCCAAAACCATTTTTTAAGTTCGTATATTGGAAAATGTACTCTTGTTTTTGACCACCACAGATAAAATAAAACGAAAAAGAATAAGTCAGCCCATATTATTTAAGATAATTTTTCTTATTTTAACTGATCTTGTGGGGTTTTTATGAAGAAATGCGAGGAACTGATTGGTTAAAGTTGTGGAGAGTTTATAAATTCAGTTATTTGCACATATATTTTATGATTTTATCATACATACAGAAAAAAAACATGAGAGGAAAGACTGTTATGTGCATGAGATGGCGTATGGTTGATTTTATAAACTACTGTGATAGCTCAAAGAAATCATGATATCCTTGTACAAGTTGTGCCCAATTTCTGTTACATAACCTATGCAAAAGAGATTCAGGCTGATTTGAACTTCAGCAACTGCATAACATATTTGTGAGACGTACAATGCATGCGATAAAGCATGAAATTTTTTCAATTTGTCAGCAACATAGTGTAATCACATTTTAAAAAAGCACCCAATCGTCTATTGGCTAGACAAACTAAACGTTGTTCCTAACATGCTAGACTCAAGTCATAGCATTAAAAATGACACATAAAAAGAACTATGCATAACTATCATCAACTTGTCTTAAAAATGGATACATAATGCATGAGAAAACTGTTAATCTGTAATAAGAAAAGAACAGTAAGCATAATTCTTACAAGCAGATGAGGACTTCCAAGATCACGTGCTGTGTTGATATATAGATGTCTCCCTAATATGTTTACTTGAACTCTAACATAGAGGTTCAGCATTGTCATTGCCCAAAGAGATAACACCATTTTCATAAAACCTGGAACATGTGAAAAAAAATTAGGGTTGCTGTTCCATTCTATTACGAAGATTTAGGCATTGTAAATGAAACAAGAAAGTTCATTCGTACTAAGAATTTTGAGTCTGTCCCATAACTCAAGTTTCTCTGCGGTAGTTAGAGTGTTTGGCTGACCCTTTCCTTGAATTAATCTCTCTGTTAAGTGTGTAAGGTCCAAATTCTCAGCCAATTGACCATCTAAGTGGTGCATTACATGAGGACATGTCGTTGAATCAGCTATTCCCTGAATGCTCTCAAAATGCGCTTGCATTCTATCAATTCAGACCAAAGAAAGAGTCACATAAATATGAGCATAAAGTTGCCTTAGTCATAGCAACATAAAGAAGAACTGTAATCTTTTGATGCTTAACTGGGCTTTAATAAGTTCAGTATGTCCCCTTTCATTGACGAGTTGTTTCTCAAGATCAGATAGCCTACGCCTGTGAGTATCATAGAGTTTGTACAAGAAGTACCCACTTCCTAAAACTCCAAGTGTAACATACACTTTCTTCTTGTGCCTCCTCCAAAACTGCCTGTTCATACACACAAAATATGAAAACACCAATAAAATATTTTTCTATGAAAAGAATACAATAACAAATAGACCAATATAAAAAATTAAAAAAAAACAAAATTGAATACAAAACAAGTACTTTCAGCAAAAACCCACTTCAGGTAATTGTAAAAATAAAGAACCCAGATGAAGAAACGTGAAATATGGCACCAACAACATTTATATTCAAAAAATCCAATCTTCAAATCCCATAAAAATAATTATTAAAAATAGATTCCATAAAAATAGTACAGTAGAAGCACTTCATTATCATGGTAATTCTGAACCAAAAAAAAAAAAAGGAGAGAGTGAGAGAAGAAGAACGAACCACATTCAATCTGTTTACTTTATCCTTTTCTTTGGGCGTTATGTTGAATACACGGCAGGCCTCAATTGTGGCCGGGCCTTCCTTTCTCTCTTCTTCCTCCAATGAAAACACAAAAACACGCACTAAAAGTGACACTTGCGAGAGGGTTTACGCCTTGGAGAAGAAAGAAATATGGTAAACAGTACTTCGAAATTCGAACAGCTTGGCTGACAGTTCGGTAATTTATTTATTTATTATTATTATTTTTTTAGGTTTGTTTGCTTGTTAGGCAATAAGCAATAACATTAATATCTCTAAGACCATTTTCAACCCTTCACCAAATTTTGCATCAATTTAAAATTCATCTTCAATTATTACACTAAAAATTACACCAAATTAACATTATTTAATCATCTTCTTCCCTTTTTTTATTCTTTATAATTTATTTATTTGAAATATTATTTATTTAATTATTTTATAAATATATAAATTACTAAATAAATAATTACATTAAATTACGAAAAAGATTAAATTCATTAATAAATATAAAAAACACGGAACAATTAATAAACGAAAATATGAGATCAAATTAGATTATCGTATGTATGTCATTGTTTAATATATTTCGTGTTAACTTTAATAAATAATCGTGTTTGTTATATTTTAAATTGTTTTCGTCTTTTAATTAATTTTATTAATTATTATGTCTTACATTTAAATTTTATTTTAAATGCAAATAATATTAATATTAATAAAATAATAATAATTTATTGTATTGAAAATTATATAGCACAAATGACATAAATATCCATAACAAATTTATTTGAAAAATATTAAATAAGGACAAAAGAGATATTTTACACTTTGTACCATTTTGCACCAAAATGGTGCAAAGTTTGGTGTTGCATTGGAACAACTTTGCACCAAAAAATGATGCAACCATTGGAGATGCCCTAAGATAATGGCACATTTCTCAAAATTACCCTTCTTGACCATAGCCACAAAGCTTCTATTTCACCTTCATTTCTTAAAATTTATTTTTAATTATGGCTCTATCTGATCTACATTACTTGAAAAAATATATTTTTAAACAGTAATTGACATCATTCCAACCACATATTTTTCAATAAAATAATATTACATGAAAATCTAAATTTTTTTATTTTTATTTGTTAACTACACATTTTCCATCAACATACTATTTAAAAATATATTTTTTTTTCAAAATAATGTGGCTAAAACAAGGGCTACATATTTCATAGATTCACAATTTTTATCAATTATTTAATTACTTATTTTATTAAAATTTATCAAAATCTACTAAAATAATAATTTTTATTAAAATCGGACAGGGCAAAATTATGGGCTTGCTTGGTGTAATATTTTAAATAGATTTAATGAAAAATGATTATATATATATATATATATATATATAATCATTTTTCATTAAATCTATTTAAAATATTACACCAAGCAGGCCCATAATATATAAAAAAAGAGAGAAAGAGAGAGAGAGAGAGAGAGAGAGAGAGAGAGAGAGAGAGAGAGAGAGAGTTTGACACACATTTTTATGAAAAAATGAATTTTAGAATAATAGATTGATGGAAAATGTCTGGATGAAAAATAAGGAAAAGTTTTTTATTTACGAGTAATTATTTTAATGAAAAATGTGTGGTTAAAAAGAAGAGAGAGAAAAATTTATTTGGAAAAAAATGGAAATCAAACTGACCAATAATTAAAAGGTAAGAAAAATTATTGATCAACATTTTTTACTAAGAAAATATATAGTTGAAAATGATTTATTAAAAAAAAAAAAAGAACACGAACTTTAAAGAATCGATACCAAACATAGGCTATACAATAATAATTGTTCATCGATAAAACTATTTTAAGAAAAAAGAACACGAACTTTATGGAATTTATACCAAACATGGGCTATACGATATTAATTGTTCATCATTAGAATTAAAATAGTTGATAACTATTGGTAAATTTGTCTGTCAAAGGCTAAAATTAATATTTACACTTGAAAAATGAAAGGATGAAACAAGATTCGGTAACCCAACATGTAATAAAATAGTGGAGCAATGTCTTGTCGTCCAACCTTACATAGGGATTTACGTTAAATTTGGGTTGATTATGTGCACAAAATTTCTTTGTCGAAAAAATTCTTAATCAGGAGTGCCATGTGCACATAATTTCTTTGTCAAAATTTTTACAGAATATACGTGACAATATCCAATTAAACAATGGAACCCAAAAAAAAAAAAAAAAAAAAAAGGGATTGTACCAGATACTGCCACATCAACATCTGATACAATTATGTCACTTCTGATTCTGTACAAACAGAAAAATTCTTAATATCTCAATAATTTATTTATTTATTTTTGCTAATTTTGTACCGATGAGATTTCTAGCAAATATTATATATAACATCTGCAGATTAATTAACGTCTATTATGCAATAGAATTTTTCGATCTTGACTTACGTCTATGATATAAATAAACAATTTTGATAAATTAGTAAGATAATACTTTATGTAGAAATTAAATATAATATTGTGGTCATACGTATACCATAAATTAAGAATTGACTAAAAACACAAATACAATTTATACGACTCTACTCACTCTACAATTACTTGTTTATACTCGAAATTTAAATCTAGTTGAATTTCAAATCTAATTTTCCTTGATGTATAGAAGTTCTGTAAAGAAATAAAAATAAATGAAGTGTCATTGATTCTACAAATTGAATTTAGCTCATGTTTTAAAGCCATTCAATGGGAAAAGCCATAATTTTAAATAGTGCTTTCAGGAGAATGTGTAATTAAGAAATAAAAGTCTAAAAATTACATACAAAATATTTTATTGTGTGAATATATAATTAAAAATGAATATCTAAAAATAAATATCTTTGTTATAATCACATAATTTTTATTTGTCAAGTAACATTTTGCACCTAACAATAAATTCAAGTGGTAAAAGAGAAAGATGGAGAAATCATAATTTGTTTGAGACTGTCGCGTCAAGGGTTCGAATTCTGAAATAAGAATTTGACTCTTGGATAAGTGCAAGTGTACAGACAGCCTTCCACCCTGTACTTTTGGAGACATAACCTACGATTTACCTCCTTCACGCTACTCCAGAACAAGAACGATGGAGGATCATTGGGATTCAACCTTTAATAAAGCCACGAGTACGAAAAACTTTTATAAGAACTTGTACAAACACTGATGTGACAAAGGATGATTGAATTGCTTTTTATCTCTTTTTTTTTTCTATCTTCCAATAATATCACACTATTTATTGTCCGTAAGATTTTTCTGTCAAAACATATTGTACCTGCAGCATTCTTCGCTTAAAAAATGCTGGTACAGCCTGTAGGCAGATCTGACTATAGACTTGCGCAAAATGAACCACCTTGGGCGAGTAACGCCCAACAGTAACTTTGTTCACATTTTACACCACTAGCCATCAATAGGAATTAAGAGTGAGATTAAGAGAATATACATGCAGGGGGTGTGAAAAATTGAAAAATCTGGATTATAGAACTCAGCAAAACATGTACTTAATCCAAAATTGAAACCAATAAAAACATAGAATCCAAACATCTTTCCAAGCATTTTAAACTTTAATCTAAGGATAACTGCAAATAAAAGCAACTTTGACTGCTTGGCCTAGTAGCGTCCAATTCCCCAAACTCTGACGACGCCATCAGTGTAACCACTAAAAAGGGTGCTTCCATCGGCACTCCAGCTGAGACTGGTGCAGTATATGATCTGGAGTTCACAAGTTGAAACATTAATGTTGATCGAAAAGCACCTTAAAATCAGTTTAGGGGGCTATATTATTAATATAAGAGCAACAAAAGCATAAAAGGTGAACCTAACTAACGAATTCAATCCAAGATCCAGTAAAAATACATTGACATGTTAACAACGTTAAATAAAAAGTTGGAAAAATGTTAGCTCGCTGTCTAGTGTTCAGCAAAAAGCCAACACCTACATCAGATTCAACAGTGCTAGAGATGTACAGGTTCAGATAATCAATCAAGTGATCAAAAGATCAATCTGAGATGGAATCATGGAACAGAGACAGAGTTATGCTATGCACATCCATAACAATAATTTCAAAAACAGATTTTTAAATCATTTGAGATCAATGGCCTGAATTTTGCCAACACACTTTGTAACCCAACTTTGTACAAGTAGCTTTATTGAAACATGCATACAGTGCAAAATTTAAACAAATCGTGATAATATTGGAGTAACATCCATATATTCCAACAAAATCACAAAAACCAATCAAGTATCACCTGAAAAGATATAATCTTTAACCAGGTTATAATAGAAGCCTAAGCACATGCACAGCAAGAAAAATTACACTTACCAAATCAAAGTCATAAGCACTTAAAATACAAGATGTAATCTTCAAACAGGTTACAATATAAAAGTAAGGACAAACTGCAACAAGGAAAACACAACTTATTAACACAATCATTACATTTAAGGTTCTTAGATGCGCACAGAGGAAATTTCTTAAGGTACCAAGTATAAGAAAATGAAATATGACCAGTGTACAACTCTTTTAAGTTACCTCAGCATATAGAAAAATCTTAATCTCCAACTGTGAAACTTTTTCAAGTTAAAAGACTGAATTCATGCAACATCAACTAAATATGATGATGCTAACAATAATTCTGATGGAGTAAAGGTTAGCAGGAAAAAACTGATCTTAACACCCTCTCCTACTATTTTTTAATAAAGTTGCAGTCTTCCCATAAAAGTTTCATGAACTAAGCTCGAGCGGATGATTGAGTTGGCCGAGAACTAAGCTCGAGCCATGAAACCTCAACCAATTTGACAAAATGGTTGAGCAAGAATTAGTTAAACAAATAGTTCAGTTGATAGTCACTCTACCACGGAGAATAACAAAGACAAAAGGTGGTGACTTTTAGTAAGGATAAATCAGCTACTAACCTGTATAGAAGGCATTGATATTAATATTAGAAGATAGTTTTTGAACTTTTGCATTTATAAGTAGAAAATTTGGAAAAATTCCTCATGCAATAAATGCCCAACAGTCAAAATAACTATTAGAAAGTCAATTCTAAACAAAAACATAATCAATATACAAATTCTAACAAGCATAAATCTCAAATGTACCTTGTTTTTAGTGGCCTGTGTAGTGTCTTCAGCAGCCATCTCACTCTCCAGCTTCAAATCAACCTTG